ACTTTCTAATATACATAACCATTACCCAGTCCATCTACAGAAATAAAACTGTCATCATTGTAGATGTGCACTAGACTTTGAGAGGCTGCAGAGAGTTGAAGGCTATGCCCACAGAAGTCTGTTTATCCAGCTGTCTGTCTGGATAAACCCACTTGGCTGGAGGCAGGGAAAGACTCTGCAGTGTAGAAATACATTCTGGGCTCACAGTGGATGAAACAGAGGCAGACTTTAATGTCTCGGGAAAGTGGTCTGGCACAGACAGTCCCTTTTAATGAATGAACCTAGAACTGACATAAAAATCTCACATAACTCTACATGCAGGAAACATATGACAAAGTGTACTCGTGCAGAAATGCCGTCAAAAATCAAAGACAGACAAAAAGACCGAGAGAGTGTTCTCCCCATTGGTTAGAGGTGAAAATAGAAGGAAAAAAAGATGATGTACAGTCATGATGGGGAATCAATAACTAATCCACCTGGATTTCTTCAAAGGCAAAGGTGCCCTGGCAACAAATGCTGCATGACAGCATAAGTCTTTGATGAGTGTGTGTGCCTCCTGCTTCGTGTTCAGAGATTTCATACGAGTTCATAATGAAACGGAAGAATCTAAATTTACCAAAAGAAACCTCTACGACAGAACTGAACAGTTTGTGAAAGCTGAATGCACATATGTATAGTGGCTAACCTTGAGCTATTTTGTCCTACTGAGACAGGCAAAGAAGATGGTTGTGCTCAAGTGGATCCACTTGCATGTTTTTTTTCAATTAGTGGAAAATGCACTGGAGGAAAATGTAAAACTCCTGACTGGAGACAGATGATAAGACAATTCGCACATTTCAATATTACATATAATTATTTTTGTGGTGTTGATCTGGTTGAGAAAGCATCAATTTCCATTTCTGTACAGCCTGCTGACAGAATACTATAAGTTAGCTGTCAGCTGTGTATTTATTTATTTATTTTTAAATAGGGTTCGAGTCCAGATGTTCATTGCAGAGTAATTGAATAAAGTCTGAGTGTTTAAGAATTTACTGGGATGAACTCCGTTCATAAAGAGCAGATGAACAGCAGATCTTCTGATTTGGCTCAACCCATCACCCTTCTGAAATTTCTTCTGCCATCTAATGTTTCACTCTAATCTAGATTTAAATGCTTTGAAAACTGAAGCTAAACCCACCACATGGCATTTGCCTGATGAAAACTCTTCCTAAGGTCGCGTGGGTGTGAACAAACAACACTTGACCAACATCTTCACTCCCTTGCTGGTTTATTGCACCTCTTGGAGTGGAATAAATTACACCTCCCTCTCTCAGCTCCATCAACATGATACTGCATGAAGTCAGTCAGCTCGCATTAAAGGCAATCAAAATGTCAACATGCAAGCTATAATACAGCTAAAATAATTTAATATTAAATGAAAGCGTTATTGTAGAAGTCACACCCATGATTGGCTAACCAGTAAGAATGTGGTCGGGTGAAAGCACATTGATCAAACCATTGATCAATGTGCTACAAGCCTGGTAAAATATACCTAAGAACCGTACTGAAGTGTAATTAGCTACTTCCAGTTATACACTACCACCAATCTTTTATGATGGAGCTGAACTGAGGCATAAGTCTAATGAGACAGCAGAAAACATCTGTGTGGGTGTGTCGGCCTCGAAGCCATTCTTTCATACACACGCACAAACACACAAACACGCACAAACACACACCGTTTTCCTTCTTACCACATCAAAATCAGGTTGTAAGATCGACCTGAGGCAAACTTGTCTGAGCGTCTGACTAAGTTTAAAAGCAGTTTAATTGGCCTTTCTCACAGCAGACATTTTCCTTGGACACGCAGGTGCGGCTAATAACACTAATTGCTGCATTCCATCTACAGGTGCGAGTTTCACGGATCTCATATTGTGCACCCTGGATTACTGGTACGGGCGTCATTAGTGTTTTAGTTGTGTGCCTTTTCTGCTATGAATTTAAATTACTGCTCTGAAAAGGTCTTCAACTGCTGCAAATAAAGTTCCAAGAGAGAATCTCAGTAGGTTAGCTTCACACATACACTTCAGCTGCAATATAGACTCTTGAAAAGATGTGTTTATGTCCACCTTCCAGCATTGGTCTTCATCTCAAATCTGTGTTGTTTATTCTGACTGAACCAGAGTCTGGTTTGTTTCCCCCTTGAACTGATTTGTTTGGGGAAGATCTTAAAACTGCATTCGTAGCTGGATGTTGACCAAAATGACCACCAAGTACACCAACTGACTTTGCCAGTTTAGGCTGAGAAGCTACCAAAGGTGGGTATGTTTTGCAGAAAATACAAACCTTATACAGTCAGTCTTCCAGCAGCTAGCTGGAAAATGAATTAAGGGCTGACCTTCTCTGTAAGCAAGTACATTGCTCTCTTGCCATTTGGTTGGACAGAACAGTCTTCAAGACCTCATCCCTGTGTTTACTTTCCTGATGCTGCCCCAGACACAGAAGGAACCGATAAGCAAAATGAATGTTTTTTTGGCTGACTCCGTAAACAGAAATCAAATCAAGGAAACATGTATTTTTCATTCTTAGTCAGCAATATGGAACTTGTCTGGGATGGTCAGATCAGTGTTAAAACTTTCAAACAGGCAAAATCTGTCTGGTTTCCATCTTTATGAGACTTTTTTGGTGTCACTTCTGACTTCTCTTTTTCTTTACTGGAAAGACTTCTACTATATTTGAAATACGCAATGCCTGCGTCTGTGTGTGTTTCCCTTAATATTTCCCGAGGAGTGCATTTGGAAGACAGTTCGCCTCCAAGTGCACACACACACACACACACACACACACACACACACACACACACACACACACCAGCCTGGCATATTTCAAATATGAAAGTGCATTTCAGCTAAGAAGTGGGAAGTGATTTATAAAAGGCTTTAGGGAAAGGCTTTCAACTGAGAAGAGAGAAAAGACATGGCAGAATAACTCTTCAGAGATGGAGAGTGGGAGGCTGCTGCTGAACCTAATGTTATAGATAGCAAAGCAATCGGTAAGGCTGGATATTTTAGCGGTAGATCGGGACACAGTAGCTCAACCTGGCGCATACAAAATGCACTTTGAGGTTGTAAGAGTGTGGGATAAATGAGCAAATAAATGAAATTTCACCGTTCTAATCCCCAAAACGGAGAGGTTCCAAACAGTTGAAGCAGCCGCTTTTAAACCAATGACTGATTTTTTGTCATTGCTTGGTGCTGAGCGATAATGCAGCAGATATAATACAATACATGCCTTTAGTGCTGATACTGGTGTATTTCATTAAAACAAAGGGAGAAACTATGAAAACACGCGTGAATGTTCTTGTTTGATAAGCTGATGCAGGTGTTTTGTTTTGTGTCCTAAGGACTAGTTCGGTAATAGTGTTTCATATGCATCCTTTAATGCATTTAATTAATGGAAAGCAGAGCGTACAGAAGGCCATCGGTGTCAGCGTGTACACAAATATATAGGCATATGTGAACCTGCATTTTATCAGTACACAGCCGCCTGAAAAGGCTGCAAGGAAACGTTAACTTGCTAAAGGTGGAAGACAAAGAATGACCGATTACAAGTAAATGGTAAATGGTAAATGGCCTGTATTTATATAGCGCTTTACTAGTCCCTAAGGACCCCAAAGCGCTTTACATATCCAGTCATCCACCCACTCACACACACATTCACACACTGGTGATGGCAGCTACATTGTAGCCACAGCCACCCTGGGGCGCACTGACAGAGGCGAGGCTGCGGACACTGGCGCCAGCGGGCCCTCTGACCACCACCAGTAGGCAACGGGTGAAGTGTCTTGCCCAAGGACACAACAACCGAGACTGTCCAAGCCGGGGCTCGAACCGGCAACCTTCCGATTACAAGGCGAACTCCCAACTCTTGAGCCACGATCGCCCCAAGTAACCTCAGCATACATTTGTTTTTTTAACAGTTCTTTTATAACTTGCATGAAGCACAGAGTTTGAAAACAAAAAAGCTCCTTTTAACTGATCCTAGTGGGACTGAGTCATATCAGCATCTGTCAGACAGACTTTGCTTGTGTGTATGCCAGTTTGAAACAGATTACCAGCCTGCAATCCCATCTTGGTGACTCAGCTCATCCCGTTTAAAAAAAAGAAAGAAATATGCTTACTCTAAAATGACCAGCGTAGCCACACTGATGACAATCCACTTTGCTCCACAGCAGCAGTCAATCCACACTTGACAATGCAGTCAAAGAAAAAGAGCTACGAATCCACAAAGGCCCACTTCACACATGAAATGTCATCTTTTTCGTTCTTACAATGACATTAAAATGCTGTGCTTGAGAAGCTTTGGAGGCGAACTCCAGGTAAAAACTTAGATTTGCTTTCATATAGCACTTTCCTTCCACGTAAAACGCTGTTGCCCGTTGGCACATACATGAATACATCAGTTTGACGATCCCACACACTTAAACACTGATGACACTTCCACGAGAAGAAGCTGGAAATCTGACCAGTGAACACCTGATTACAGGTTGACCCGTTCCATCTCCGAGCTACAGCCGCCTACACGCTGCCTTTTCTTCTCCAATTTGGTTTAATAATCTCATTATTTTTCCTGTCTTTAAAAGGAAAACAACCAGAAGGAAAACACTGTAGCCATGATGAATAAAATGATTATCATGGGAATGGATTAACAACTAGAGCTACATTTCTGAAGCGAGCACTTCAACATAAATCACCATTTTAGATGAGAAGAAATCAGGTAATTATGCCAAAAATGCAACTGCAATAAATGCAATAATTCAATTCAACAAAAACAAAACATACTTGGCGTTGGGTAACCAATATCTGGGAACTGCAGACAGCAAAATGATGTTTCCAACATGTGTAAAATCAAACTGATGCAATTCAACTGCGTTATATGAGGACAACTCCTCCCATATTCATATTTCATGCTACAGAGTCACATTTTCAACACAAGATTGGTTCTTATATGGAGAAATCTGGTACCTGGCATGAGTGGCTGTCCAGTTATTCCCATGGGAGGCATCCCCAGGTTATTCATAGCTGTCGCCCAGGCGTTGGGGTCTGACATCGGCATCGTAATCGAGTTGGAGTCCATTGTCATGTTGCAGATGCCTTCTGCAAAAGGACAAACACACACAAAAAGGGATAAGGAAAAGCGTCAGCATCAGTCAAGTGACTTTCAAATCACCATGACAAAAGGGTAACGGCAGAAGAAGAGCCATGTTGTGGTGAAGACCGAGGTAAACGACTGTTTTTAAGTGTGCAGCGCTGTCGTGGCATGTCTAGTTGCCAAATTGTTGCTTTAAGTCTGTGTTCTGTCTGAGGCGAGGAGAGGCGAGGCTACCGTGACCCTGCAGTCAGTCTGACCACAGTGATTTCAGCAGCGCTGTCACAGAGAATCTATTTTCCTCGTGTTGTCGTTTGTTCAGTTGGTGCACAGAGGTTCAACAGCCTGGCCTTTTGACACATTCTGCCTCTGTGAGCGTGCTGAAATGGCGCGAGAAGGAGGGGGGGGGGAGAAGGAGGAGACTCGTACATATCAACACAACAATGTACACCAATAAGTTCTCCAATGAAAGATCTGAGCTTTCTTTTGCAACCAGAGTAAGAAAATAATAGAGGGTAAACCAAGATTATCAAGGCGAGGAGCATAAATCCTGATTCTATCACACGTTTGCCAGGCAGTCTGCTACTAAACCTTGACAAGCTGAAAACTCTCCAACTTAGAAGGACAAATATGCACATTTCATCTCAAACAGACAACTCCAGATCCATGGTTTTGCTTCCAAGTGTTGCATAATAAAGCATATTCTGGTCACCATAATAAAAAAAGTCAACATGAACACAAACCAGGGACCTATTCTCTCCATCTGCAGTCCATCCAAGAGCCCTAAATGCTTCTGAATTCTTTCCTCCGGTTGACCTTTTTCTTTCTGACAGACCTGTAAGTTGCTGTGGCTGCAGCATGAATGCTCTTCTTTCCTGATGCCAAATCCAACAGTCCTAATAATGAGAAGAGCTGTACCCTGCACATACTTCACACCTCAGAAGGTCTGTGACAGAGCTGACTGTGGTGCCAACTGTCTGCTCCGCGTGCACGAATGTGTGCGTCTGACGAACAGCAACTGCTATATTGGTATTCCTGGTGTTCAGACACAGCTGGGAATGTGGAATAATGCCGTGTGCCTCTTTGCTTTCCTCTCAGAGCTGCTAATTTCAGACCCGTCTGCTGTCGCTGCCATAGAGAGGCCCGATAAAACCCACATTGTGTGTGTCGCTGTGATAATGCTGCTGACGAGGACTTCACAGGCTTGTTAACTAACACAACCCTATTAACTGGGGACACTTTTGAGGCGTTAGAATAAAGGAAGAGAAGAGTGGCTGTGAGCTCTGGTGAACAGCTGTGCTGCAGTTTACCGTACAGAAACCTGCAGTGCTAACACAAACACACACCCAGGGCTGACAGGTGACAGCCTCAACCGAACCGAGTCCTCTTGCCTGGTTAAATAAAAACTAGCTTACAACATGGTCTTTTTCTGGTCTTTTCCAAATGTAAAACCATACAGACTGTTACAGACTCAGTGGTGGTCTTTTCCGAGTTTCCTGTGATGGGTGGGGCTTTGAACAAGAGGGGAGAACTGCAGGAGGGCTTTCATTTTTCTTTCTAAATTTTATTTTTTTGCCCAACACTCTAAAAAGTACTTTTAAATCCTCACTAAAGGTCAGTGTACTTCTTGATTGTGGTGCTCACATTCAAACTATCATGCATTTGACTAGTTAGGTCAAAGAAGTTAAAGTATCAAGTGGCAGGTCAAGTAAATTCAGCTGCAGTAGCCTGTTCCAGTCTTTTGCTGCCCATCCTGCATCGAACCACCCTGCTAGCCACTGTCTCGGAGACATACACTCTGTCCTTCATAAATCAATTATATTTTTCTGACTTGCATCCCCTGTATGTCAATATTTAAAGGAATTTTAATTTTGTTATGACCCTAAGGACAGGCCTTGGCTCCCCCTAAAGCAATCATCCTACACCATCGCATCGATGTAAGTGATCTTCAGAGAGAAACGGCAAACAGCTGCTGAAGGATCAACACAGGGAGACACATGTGTGAGCACACACCAAGAAACAGATAAACACAGTGCACAAGTTCACCTTGGCAGAAAAGAGGAAAGGGAGCCTGGGATAAGGGAGCCAATAACAGAATCAATGTTGGTAAATATTTTTATCTGAAAACACGGATTAGAGCACTTTGCTTTGCAGCCAATTGTCTGCATGGAATAAAAAGTGCCTAAATAACTCACAGAATCTAAGAGTATTCATCAAGGTCAAATGACTTTAAAGGGAAAACTTATATACAGTTTCAGCTCTTAGCTTAAGTAACATGTGTGCACCACATAAAGCTGAACATTTAATATCTAGGATGACACAAATGCCTAATATACCGAGTCCGGTTACGAGTGTCTAGCTTCAAAGACAGCAAGGCCTATTCACAGCATGTCCCCGTTACTGTCTTCCAAAGTAGTGACATCTTATCTGATTTGATTATTAATCACTAAATTATTATCCAAAAAGGTCCAAAATTCACAGCAACAGCTTGAACAACTTAGATGAAAATTGGGAAGGTCAAATTTCAAAAAAGCTATTTTCTTTTACTGCATAAAAATGATTAACAACCGCTTTGTATTCTTACTGATTTGTTAAGCAGCAAAACTCAAAATGATGACTGCATGCTAACAGTAACAAATACTAATGGACATGCTGTGAAAAGACCAACATGTGTGCACCTCCACATCACTATGACACATGTCTGTATTACGGATTTTGCCAGTGGCAATTAGAGCAATAGCGATTTTGATTCAGCCGGGGTCCAAGTCTTTCCTGACACTCTCTGCGGGCTGTGACCAGCTTTTAGCTTCGCTAAAAGGTCCCCCAGGAGGCAGATAGGAAATTAAGTCATTTAAAGGCCCATTGGCCATAAGCCCCAACAGCAGGCACAGGGACGCTGGGGGCCATTTAGTCTAAAATGCACACGGTTTTAACAGCTAACTACAGGTTTATTACAGCCCCTAGAGAGTGAACTCAAGAGGGAGCATAAAAGATACGGAGCAGAGACAAAAAACAGAAAGAACAGGTCACTTAATAGATGTGATGCTGACGGAAGAGTAAAGTAGAAAATGGAACCGAACTTCAACATTGCACTAAATAAAGCACAGAGGACTGATGATAGTCATTACCACAAGCAGGAACAGCAAAAACCCACAATCATGTATTATATTATTCCATTGCTGAACACAAAGTGGTTGAGCTGACAGATAAGCACATTTAAAGTTCACTGCATGTCCTCCAACCAAATGAAAAACGAATACCCCAAATATTTGTTCCACACCATGTTCTGACTTGTTAGTTTCAGGCAAAACATTGGAAGAGAAATCTGCCACTTTCCATCAAGAATCATGAGTACAGTAACATACATTTACAAGGAAAGAAAAAATGACTGCCCTAGATGCCTTTAATGCAGAAGACGCAATGTGCAGAACAACTGATACATCTTTAACCTAAACCTCTCCCGAAGTCTCCTGAGGTCTGTGTGTTCATCTGCAACTGTCTCTGAGTATGTGAGATAAATAATAAAAAAACTACTTCATATGTGAAAAATACTTAGAGCCTGAAACCACGAAGATCAGACTTACGCAATAGTAGAAAATCTCCTTTTGAGGACAATTTGTACGACTTTATCTTTGATAAATTATGAAAACCTTCTCAAAACGGATAAATCGGTTCATAAAGATCACATTTTTTCAATGACTTACGTGACTAACATACACAGGCACATATACGTACAGAGTGTGTGTGTTTAATAATGCATGACTGCCCTTCTTTCTGCGTCTTTGATCTGTTAATTATGATAAAACTAGTAGGGGTCTGGTGATTAGTGGTAGCAAAGGCAAAAATGCCCAGAGTGTTATACTGCACTGCGTCTCACTTAGGACCAAAAAGAGGACAACAAAGTGAAGATGTAAAGATGACAGACAAGGCCTGAAGACAGTCTGGCCTCATGGGGGGGGAAAGGGGTAAGAAACTCCCTGTGCTGTTTCACTTTCAATCACCTCGGTGTTTCTGATACATGAAATCATTAATGAGAGACGAGTGCTGAGAGAGAGTCTCAGATCTGTTAGGTTAGTTTGACGTTGTAATCATTTAGCACTGCTGGTGATGTCGAGACAGATATTTTTTTGTGACTGCTTGTCCAACTTTTTCTTTCAGCATCTTGCACTTGTGTCCATGACTTTTTCCCAGACATTAGCTTTATTTGAAGAAAAATAAGGAGAAATATTATTTTACAGCAATACAAAAGCCAAACCGCCTTAAATACAGACGCTGTCTGTCAAATAGCCGACTAACAAACTACAAGATTCATGGTGCTGTACGGTGACGTAGGAAGAAATTTCATCACCCGGCAAATGTGAATAAGAGGCAACCTCAGGCATTGTTTATTGTACAGAGGGCTAAACAGCCTTAAGATTTTAACCATAATGCAGTGCTGCTGAAAATAGGTGTTACAAAATACTCCCAGCAACTGACTGCAAATAAATTCATTGCAATTTGATGGCTGAGAGTGTATCTTTGTGTCCAACAGGTGACTGTGGGTTTAGTGAGGTGGTGGCAGCGGAGGTTGTCAAATCAAATTACGGACTCTAAAATTGGATTGGAAAAACTAACCCCAACACCAATTCTCAGCAGAGGTGAAATTCCAGCTCCACAAAAAAATACTAAGAGACCAATGCATATCTAATGACTAATGCATAATGTATATTATAGTCCAATCAAGCGCTCACGCTTATAAAGACTCCACTGCTTAATCAAAGTGCAGGAAATACTACTTTCTCTGCAGAACTTTTAAATAAAAAGGCATTTCCTTATAAAAATGTGCCAATTTTTAACTGATAAAGGGAAACAGGTTCGTTGTTCACTACAAACCACATGAAACTGTCGCCACAAAGCAAAGCACAAACAGTCAAACTGCAACACCCTTATGTACTGATGCTGCATAGGTCTTCCCTTTTAGTAAACGGCTTCTTTTATATAATATCTGTAAGACTACGAAGTGTTGATC